TATTTACTAGTAGGGTAGGCTGGTATATATATAAGAGGGGAAAACGTGACGCGGAAGGTAAGGTAATGTGTGTGTAGATAGTCAATGAGTAATTGAACTGCAGTCAGAGATAGACGTATTGTTGTAGTTAATGTTCGTTCGTTATTATAGTTTGTTATAACGCGACTGTTGAGAATAAGTGTATCGGTAAAGTTGTATTCGGAAAGAATAAACCAGTTTTATTAAGTAAAGAACTTGTGTCGCTTAAGTTTCGTCGGAACGAAGTTACGGGAAGTTAATTAACAAACGGAGACGTAACAGTATAATAGAGTGTCGGGGTTTTAAAATATGAGTGGGCTGAGGACTTTTCTACACTAGGTGTCTGTGACTTGGAGACGATAAATTTAACAATAAACAGACAACACACACACCAATTGTTTTAAAATGATATATTCTAAACAAGTAAAACTGTGTACTAATATTCTTCCGATACGGTGCATTACCTCCTCTCTCATAATAGCTATTTTCGTTCAGTGCTGCCCTCTATACGCATTTTTTATGCATGCCACAAGCCTTCTATCTTCACTCCATTGGAATTGACTGATTCCAATGAGTCTCATGCGTCATTCCTCCACCAATAATAGTACAACATACTCCCATGAAGCACTATCACTACTGTTGAGACGTTTTACATTTTGGTGCTTTTCGTGTAAGTCATGATTTTAATAGTTTAATTGCCAAAGTGGGATTTTTTCATTATTATTTTTTCCTCAATCTCGCATATTTTACATCAAACACATTCTACAATGAATTTTGAGGTTCATGTTCCCACTTTGGGTGTTATACCTCTAGTGTTATCCAATTCTCCGTTTTTCTATGATTCCTTATTATTTCCATGTTGGATCGTTTGTCGTCTTCGGCTCTTGCTTCACGCACGTGGTTTCACCGGAGTTGGGATTTTCTGGGTCATGGTGGGACCTTGTCCCGGGTACTTTTGCCGCATCTTTCTTTTCGGGATTTCTATATTTTTCTTTGGTGTTATGTTTTCGATCATGTATCTGTGACTTAGGAATCTCGTGTGAAATCTGTGTATCAATACTCGACCCTTTCCACTTTGGTTGCACATTTTTCTCAGTTGGAGCCATGGCATGCTTCTATTCCTGTCCTGTTCTGGTCCTTATCTACCCATCCCTGTTCCCTCATCTTGTCGTTTTATTCAACGTTGATGGGCATGTCGCCAATTGTACCAGAGACTACTCAGAGGGTTCCGGTCCAGTGGGAGCTTGACTATATTGTTACCATCTGGCAATTTTTCACTACAGTTCCATGTTTTTTTTTGTTTTTATCAGAAGGACTTGTCATCCAATTCCTTTCCCCACCTCCTTTGGCCCTGGTACATTTTCCCTTCCCCATGACCTGGGATCCTGCCACCAGCCTACATCTGTCCGAGGTGGTACAAGATTTTCTGTCTCTACAGGCTGTTGCACCTGTTCATCATCTTTCTCCAGGCTGTTTGTTATCCAGGTGCCAAAGTGGAGAGTGGTGGCCTGTACTAGGTTTGTCCTGCTTCATTCTAATTTTGAATCTGCCCCGTTTTACTTGGAGTCGTTTCTCACCCTTAATTGGGCTTTTTCTCTAGGTTAACCGATGACAAAGAGGAATGTCACGAATGCTTATTTGCATATCCTGATATTTATTTACTCACGACCCTTTCTTCGATTTATTTTCCATAGGGTGGTTTCTCTTTTTTGCACACTGCTCTTCAGACTTGCTTCTGCCCTGTATCTTTTGTTGGGCATTCAAAACATTTGTTCATCACTTATATGCTCTTGGGTTGTGCTTTGCTCTTTCTTTGGTTGATTGGCTACTGTTTGCTTGTTCCGAACAGGAATCCACCTGTTACACTTATCAGCTGCTCCTGGTGGAAGCTTTAGTGGGCTGTTAATCAAATTGGAGAAGTCCTTACTGCGACCTATCCAATATCTTGTTTATTTGGATGTTTTTCTACACACACAGATCTCAGTTGGACCCGCCCTTCTCCTTTTGACTTTGTTGGATGGGTTTTCGATTCGATTACTGCTCGCAAAGCTATATCACTTTTTGGGGATGTGTTTTTCAATGGTAACATTAGGTCAGGCTCATGTGCGGGCGCTTTTGTGGGCTTTTCACGACCAGTAGAATTTCACAGGGATCCTTTGTCGGCTGTTAATACCCTTCCTCCTACCCTTGTCGTCGATCAGCGTTGGTGGTTAGATATAACTCACACAAAAGTGGGTA